ATAGTGGCTCTACATGAGTGATGCTCTGTAGCACATAGCTTCTTCCTTTACCCGAGATATTTTAGTTCAGCCTCACTGATGAGAATTTACTGCTTAGGCCCAGAGAAGCAACTATTTGGACTACTGTAAGGAAAGGAAGGGAAAAAAAAAAAGGAGAGAGAGAAAAGGCAGCTTCTTGCTGAAGATAGTTAGGTGTTGCACAAACACATCTTCTGGTTGAAAATACCATGGTCATGTCTATGCCACAGATCATAACATACACTGACAGTGTCAGGTTCAAAAGACAAAGAACATGCAGCAGCTCTTATACCTTCCCACACTGTTTATAGGGTATTCCCTTCTGGTCGCAGTACTCGTAGCAAAGGGCTGCCCCCTGCACACACAGTTTAGCTTTCAGCGATCCTGGCGTGTAGTAAATCCCGCTGTGAATCACACCGCTGTTATGTCCACTCTGGTGATGAGCTAAACAAAAAGAAGAGTGTGTTGTTAAAATACACGTTCCTGTGACTGGGTCATACCTTAACTACACCAGCTATCAGAAAAAACAGGGAATTTAAGGTCCTGCCCTAAATAAGTCTTACAAGAGATCCTCAAATACGATAGTTACACAGCACACACAATTCCTCCCCAGTCTCAAAGTACTGACACAGCAGCACTTAGTTAATGATAAATAATCACAGCCACAGTCAACAGCATTTAAGGGGCAAACTTTCTTCCAAGGGCTACAACTGCATGCCAAAGAATCCACTATAATTTTGAGATTCAAAATAATTGTAAGAAACTCCACTTCCTAAGCGAAATGAGTCCTTACAGACCTCATTTGGTTTAATGGCAGTGCAGTCCTCTACTCTTGGGAGATGCTGGCAGCCGAGTGGGCTTTTCAGAAAGTCATGGGCCACATTTGCTGTGTGCTCTTGACAACTAAATAAAAGGGAGATGAAAACATCAAGAATGTACTACACTTAGGTTTTTACTAAAGTGATCTGGGCAGGTTAACCCTGTTAAAGCAGGGATTCGCAAAGGCCGCCCCTGCTTCGTGTGTGAATCCTCCAGGCACCCGCTTGCTCCTCACGGCCCGGCTGAGGGGAAACCTCCATTCCCAGCCCTCTTCACCCGCCGCCTCCTCCTCTCGCGCCCCGAAGAGCCGCCCCGGGCCGTACCCAGCTCCGTCTCCTTCTCCAGCACGACGAAGCGCAGCGCCGGGTGCCGCAGGACCAGCTCGCGGGCCGCCGCCAGCCCCCCGATCCCCGCGCCCACCACCGCCA